ACAGAGCTATATGCAAGATTGCTTACTAAAACTTTTTAATGCAATACTTCTATCTGGCATTTATCCCAGTAAATGGTCTGAGAGCTACATTACTCCTATATTCAAATCTGATAACCCACAGAACCCTGAAAATTACAGAGGTATTGCCATCAATAATAGTCTTGGCAAACTTTTCAATACCATTCTGTATAACGGACTTGATAAATTTCTATCTGATAATAATATCATAAATAAAACTCAAATTGGCTTTTCTAAGAAAGCTCGCACTTCGGATCACATTTTTGTACTAAAATGTTTCATAGAAAAATATGTTAAAAGAGGCAAAGGTAAATTATATGTATGCTTTGTAGATTTTCGCAAGGCCTTTGATAAGGTTATTCATATTGGTATATTATACAAATTATTACAACATACAAATAATGGTATTTTTTATAACATATTGAAATCTATGTATAGTAATGACAAAGTGTGTGTCAAAGTAGAAGACAAAATAACTGATTTTTTTTAGATATAATGTTGGTGTACGACAAGGTGACGTCTTGAGTCCCACATTGTTTAAACTATTTATTAATGATTTGCCAAATATATTGTCAAACAATTATGATAATGTCAATTTAGATAATGAAAAGATACCATGTCTACTATACGCTGATGATCTTGTATTAATATCTGACTCAAAAGAAGGGTTCAGAAGAGACTTGATACTTTGTGCACATTCTGCAAAGATTGGTGTATGGAAATAAATGTGAAGAAAACAAAGATTATTATATTCAATAGGAGTGGTAGACTCCTTAATGAAGATTTCAAGATAGGAAATAATTCTATCGAATGTGTTAAACAATACAAATATCTTGGCATAGTCATCCAAAATACTGGAAACTTTAATGAAGCCAGGAAACAATTATTTCAAAAAGGTCAAAAGGCCAGTTTTAAACTGTATAAAGATTTGAAATCATCAAATCCTCCTATTAAAACTCTTTTGCATTTATTTGATCATTGTATACAGCCAATTGTAACGTATGGTTGTGAAAATTGGGGTGTTATTAACATTACTCCTAAAAGGAAAAAATTATCCCTTTATGACATATTTAAAGATTGGGAGTTTGAGAAGCTAAATTTGAAATTTTGCAAGTATATTATTGGTGTTACAAAGATGTGCACAAACGTAGCAGTTCTGTCTGAACTGGGTAGATATCCTCTTTATATAAATTTGCTAACACATATGTTTATGTATTGGCATAGACTAGAGAATTCCCCATCTGATCTGTTGAAAAGTGCTTATGCTGAGTTAAAAATGATTGAGAGTAAAGCTCAAACTATCTCCAATAACTCATGGCTCTCTAATATCATTTTCTACAGCGAAAAATTGGGTATTGACCTAAATATATGTAAAAATTTAGGCAAAAATAAATTTAAAAATTTACTGAAAAAACAGCTCAAATTAAATTTTCAAAATGATTGGGAGAAAATGCGAGATTTTTATTTACAGAATCAAGGCAAATTGGACACTTATTTTTCATTCAAGAGGTCATTTGACTATGAAAATTATTTAGATTTAAAGCACCCCCAAAAACATTTGTTAACAAAATACAGACTCAGCAATCACTGTTTAAGAATAGAAACTGGCAGACATGAACGTTTTATCAATGTATGTGGTAAATATGAAATATTACCTCGACATGAGAGGATATGTTTATATTGTAATTCAAATTCTATTGAAAATGAAATGCACTTTCTTCTGGAATGCCCTCTTTACAATAACCTCAGAAGAGATATGACTGATTATATCAAAAAATACCCCAGTTTAGTTAATTTAAACAGAAATGATCTTTTTACATGGATCATGAGTAATGAAGATAGCAGTTTTTTATCTATTTTATGTGCATACCTTGATAAAGGCCTGCAACTTAGAAAATCAGAAAATTAGTTAAATACTCTAATAGATAGCAAAATTATCTCCCCTTGACCACTGACCCTTTCCTCATGCATTTGAACTATTATTTTATGTTTCTTTAATCACTCTGAAATGTTTATGTCATGTTGTTATTAATGTTATGCTCTTAATGGGCCCTTTAATTTGGAAATAAAAATATTGTATTGTATTGTATTGTATTGTATACACTAATATTGAAATATATGATAAAAAGATCATAACATGTCATTTTTCATGTCAGACCCCTTATCAGCCCTCGGTCAATATCAGCCCTCGAACCTGCGGCTCTTAATCTGATATCATGACCTAGGGCTGATAAGGGGTCTGATATGAAAAATGCCATGTTATAATCTGTATATATCACATCTTCTTTTTGGTGTATCATTGACGTATATATATCACATCTCCTTTTATTCATATTTACTTTTTTCTTTTAAAACAATTTATTGTAGATCGTTTCGGCTATCCAACATAATTGTATGGTATTTTCAAATTATTTGCTATAAGAGTAATGAAGAGTTCAATTTCGAACGCAGATAACTTTGTCACCAGAATTTTTCAGGTCTTTGAACAGAACAGCAAACCAAAGAAGAGAAAATAACATCAGGCGCACAATTTAGGACAAACAAACAATATTTATTATAATAATAAGCTAAACATCGTATTAGGGTAAAAATAAAATTCACATTTTCAAAGCAAAAATGTTGACATTTAAAATCGTAAAATTTCTGCTTAAACTCGAAATTTTTACATTTAAAATCTCGAATTTTTTAAAATAACTTAAAAATTTTACTAATAAAAAAAAAAATTGCCAAAATTTTGAGATTAAAAATGACAAAATTTCGAGATTAAAGAAGTAAAAATTTCACGGAAAATTGAAAAGTCAAAATTTCAAGATTTGAATAATTAAAATTTTGATTTAAAGTTGAAATTTTAAGATATTAAATGTAAAAATTTTTACTTTGAAAAAACAGTTCAATTATAATTTATATTTCCAATGTCCCTAATACGCTTCCGTATGTAATTGTAAGTAGATCAATTAGGTGAAAAGAATTACAAAAAATGAAACAGACTATAAAAAATTGACTATTAAAAGGCGATATAAACAAATTATTAAATGTATTGGCAACGAAACAGAAGTGGTCAATAATTCATTTGAATATAAATACAATCATTAAGTATACTGTTTGGGTCGATATTTAAACTTTGGTATTGTCCGAGTTATTACTCTTTATATAAATTGTTTTGACTGTATGTCTGTCCATATGCTGCACTGAGTGTATGACTCGCGGCAAGCCGTGTTATGCATACATGTCTTGCCATCCGTTAGCTGCTATTAGATTCAATAATATGACAGTTGGAATATTTGTATAACCATCTCATTGATACGACATAACTTTAACTTATTGCCACTCCGCAGTATGTAACTTGTCAGTTATTTGTTGCCCAGTGTAGTCTAGTACACACCAGTGGCGGATCCAGAAATTTTCATCAGTAGGGGCCCACTGACTGCCTAAGAGGGGGCCCGCTCCAGTCATGCTTCAGTGATTCCCTATATAATCAACCAATTTTTTCCCAGAAAAGGGGGGCTCGGGCCCCCTGAAAAACCCTCAAATTCCGCCTCTGCACACATAGTCAGTGATGTGCCTGATATTTAATGTACTATATGCCTATATCTAGAGAGAGATACATCTGAAGCAACGAACTTATGGTCAAGATATAAGTTACTTCGTACGCATGAGCTTTATAAAGTGTTTTTTCCATTTTTACAGCACTGGGTCGGTACCGCTGGTGGTGGACTATCATTAGCCTAGTATTCAGTACATCCTTGGCTTTCAAATATTCTGCTTTGACCGTTCCTGATGAAAATTAATTCAGAAAAGCGCTTCGGACGTATGGAATTTATAAAGTTTTGTTTTCATTTGATACAGTTTAAACGGGTGATTATGTCACAGATTTTCCATACAAATTCAGCACGGTTCACACTTTTTCCTAAAATATAAAAAATAGACATCATACCACTTCTTATTTTTATACCATTAAAGATATTAAAGATTTTTAAAGAGTGCACGTTAGAAATGTATACAAATCAAATTTTACCATTTGAAGCAACCGCCGCCCCTGTTTTTTCAAGAATAAAAAAACGAAACACACACATATATATATATATAGATATAGTAAAAAATACATAGAGAGAACTCAGCGTCTATGTCATCACTGCCTATCACATGGATCAAATTCTATTGAAGATGAGACCCATTTTACAGTAAGTTGTCCTTTATATAACGAACAGAGAAAATTATTATGGGAAAAAGTAAACAGTTTTTGTACTAATTTTAAAGAATTACCCAAGGATAAAAAATATTTCTGGCTGTTCACAAATGAGCATTTACCAACTCTTATGTGCCTAGGTAATTATATTATTAAGTGTTTAGAAATAAGATCCAGGTGGATACAAAATATATAAAATAATATTTGATTATTATGAAATTATTGTAATAGTTATGTAAGACACATGATGTGTTAGGCTCTGATCCTGTCCATAACATGATAGTATTATATTAGGATCTAGTTTTGTTTTTTCCAATCATATTGTGCTTAATATTGTTGTAAATGATGCCCTTTATGGGTTCTTGATTAGATTAATAAAATTCTTATCTTATCTTATATATACCATGTAACATCCATTGATAAAATTTAGTTAGAAACTATGATTCCAACACCCTCAGTCAAAGTTGAATTATATGGATTTTACTGTTTCTTTTGGGCTTAAAACTCCTGACGTCATTAATAAATATTTATCATCTCATGTTTTCAAATGGGGGGGAGGGGGGTGAGTGTTTTTTTTTTAGGTAAATCGAAAAAAGCACCTCGGACGCATGAAATGTAAAAAGTGTGATTTTCATTTGTAATTGAATATGTTACTGATTAATCATCTTAATTTTTTAATTGTCAAAGTTAACAATACCATCATCACAGACACTTTCAATCGATCGTTAACAATGCTGATTGTCTTCGGTTCAATGAACAGATTTAATCGGATTCTGGGTACTTAGAAACGGACTATAACATTTTACCTGTGTGTGGGAATTCAATATCCAGTTAGCAGTCCCGTAAACATTTAACTGTTAGTGGATTTACATGTGTTCTTAAAAAATGAATTAAATTCCTGAATTCAAAATGGAAATAAATATTTAGTATTATAAAGGCGGAAAGAAATGCCAGATGAAGCGTAAGTAAAGTTTTGGTGATTTTCCAGATACCTAATATTTTGGTGTACTCTATTATAAATCTATTGTATTAATTGACAATTGCTTGTTTCTAATGGTTTTTTTTTTGTGCAAAAGTGAGGAAGATATTTTGTATTGAAAATGGGAATTAAATCCTCAGAGACTTCGAAAAATTCAAAGAGGAGTAACTCTGTCAATGAGCAGCCTCGGTTTTCCCTACAAAAAGTTGCTTCAGATTAACACAAGTTATCTTTCCTTGAAATAGCAGATAGCACTTAAGTCTGATTAATTGTGTTTCAGTTGAACAAGGAAAGATACACATTTGTCCTCGTTTTGAAAGCTTTTAACTCGTTTTCATTGTCATTTATTTTACCCCAATGCACATTACAAGAGATTAAATTAAAGGGGGATACAGGCACAGAAACAAGGCAACATTTAAAAAAATATATATATACATGCATATATATGTTCTGGATACACTATATACATGATATACAGATATCTGGTCTTGTACCTGTGGATGCAGGTAAGATGTCAATGAGACAGCAACCCGATGACACAAAATGCCAAAAGACATCTTCAGGTCAAGTTCAACATATCTTCTTAATAAATATGTGGAAATGTATATATGATAAACAACATGTCAAGCTTCAAGGCACACTCGTCTATTGATGTCTTGTCTTTTGTTTGTGGGTTGCTGTCTCATTTACATGCATTTAAAAATCTTAAAAAAAGATCACCACTGAAATTATGAATATGAGTTGTTATTTATAACTATCCTTGACAAATGTCAAGAATCATGCTATCAAAAGATCATCATCAATTTCATGGTTCAGCAAAGTTTTAATTAATTTATATATATACAATATAGGTGAAGAAACACACTGTATTCTGGTAAACATTAAACATATTAAATAATAAATGATAAAGGTAATTGGTATTATGGTGCGTTATTGTTTTTTAAGTTACATGTAACTGCTCAAATTTTGCTTAAATTTTCTTTGCAGTGTTGAGTCATCTTTTAGCTTCAATAATTTGGTTTTATTTAAAAAAAATACAACATGATATTGTTGTAACCTGAATGTCCACTACGTCCACTCAAAGAAGGTGTAGGACATTTTATCAAAGATAGAAAGACGCATTAGAAATCGCCTCATTTTTAAATGTTTTGTCTTCATTAGTCATGTTAGAATTGATAAAATTTTGGAACAAATTTCTTGAATTTGATCAATTTTTGATTGAAATTAATTTAAGAAAAAGAAAGCGTTTAGCCCTCTTAAAAGGTATAGTCCTTTATATGAGGTGTTATTCATGATCTTAAAGATAATTCCCCACCTCAGTAATACAATAGGATGACACTGATAGATTGTGTGATAAAATTCAGGAAACTTCATAATTTTATGAAAAATCTATACCATGATTTCAATATTTGAACTCCAATTTTCCAATCTACCTGAATTGATCTGCAGATTTTTTGTGAGATTGAGGTGTTAAATCTTTATTTTCTGTAATGTGTGGTGGAGGTTTTATTTGTCTCTTATTACACTCTTGGTATCTTATAAACAGTAAAAAGTTAATGTATGATCCATAGATGACAATTTTTTATGCTGTTTCCCTTATCATGTAACTTTTTATAGTCATGGTTTTTATTGTCTTGTCTGCGATGAAAGTCAAAGAATGTGAGACATAGGGATAACAATACAGCGAAGGTGGCGATGGATTTAACTATTTGTGTAAAGCCTTATATTTCAGAAGGAAGAAGACCTGGATACTGTGGATTCATCATTATTCGTTGGATACCAATTTTCGTGGGTTTCGTGGGAACAGGTGAACGACGAATTTAAATGTTCAACGAAATACAAAATTCTATAAAAGTTGTACCAAGACTTTGGCAGAACCACGAAATCACATATCCACGAAAATGCAAGGTTTCCGCAATCCACGAAAATTGGTACCCACGAAAATAAATGAATCCACAGTACTTCATACCTTTTATGCAGATAACTTATGTTATGAACTTTCCATCTGTCATATGTCCATTATCCTTGACCTCATTTTCATGGTTCAGTGACTGCTTGAAAAAAAAAAAAAAACAGTTTTTTGTCAAGTGAAATACTCACTTATTATGAGCAATAGGATAACTATATTTGGTATATGGGTTTTTTGCAACATTTGTATGTCAGTCAGGGAGAGTTCATCTGACCTCGACCTCGTTTCAAGGATCAGTTATCAGGGTTAAAGTTATGTGGTTAAGTCTGTATTTCAGATTCTTTGAGCAATAGGTCAACTATATTTGGTGTATGGAATGTTGTAAGGTGAACATGTCCAACTGTCAGGTTTCATCTGACCCTGACCTTGAACTCAATTTCATGGTTCATTGGACAATGTTTAGTTTTTTGGTATGGTTTTTTTCTCAGATACTATAAGCAATAGGTCAAATATATTTGGTGTATGAAATGATTGTAAGGAGTACATGTCTGTCTGGCAGGTTTCATATGACCTTGACCTTGGATAAGTTTTAGTGGTTTTGTCATTTTATCAGATGCTATAAGCAATAAGGCCACTATATTTGGTGCATGGAATGATTGTAAGGTGTGCATGTTGGACTGGCAGGTTTCATGACAGCCTAATATCACTTTCATGGTTCATTGGATAATGTTAAGTTTTTGTGGTTTGTCTATTTCTCGGATACTACAAGCAATTATATTTGGTTTTTGGAATGATTGTAAGGTGTACATGTCTGTCTGGCAGGGTTCATATTACCTTGACCTCATTTTCATGGTTAATTGGTCAATGTTAAGATTTTGTGGTTTGATCTGTTTCTCAGGTACTATAAGCAATAGGACCACTATATTTGGTGTATGGAATGATTGTAAGGTGTACATGTCTGTCTGGTATGACCTCATCTTCATACAACATTGATGATGTTGAGTTTATATGATACTTGTAGTAAAACCTCCATATTACCAACTTTCAACATAAATTCAATCAAATGTAAATTTAAGCAGCGAGATATTTCTGTATGTGCACTCATGTAAATGAAAAGATGTGTTCATACCCTAGATAGAGAAAAAATATTGTTTTAAGAGCAGCAACTTTTTTTTTATAAATTTTGAATTTTCGATATTTCTCTCAGTGTTAATATTTCAAACTTTGATATAAATATCATCATACAATGAATCACCGTGACATTCGTTGACATATGAAACAAATGAACAAAACTTTGTGAAACATCAAAAATTGAGGTTACTAACTTTGTTTTAGAAAATAGCTGATATTCTGAATATAGATATTATCTTATACCATGTACTTAATCCTAGAAAGGTACAGCAAATAGTGTGACACTGTCTAACATTTTTTATATGATATTTGACTCTAAGAACTGTTAATACACTGGGACAGAACATTTTATTGTCATACCCCAGGAAAATGGCAAAAATGCATAGCGCTAGTTATTATCTCCCCTTAAATGTTATACCTTTGGAAATGCATAGGTAATTATCTATCTATTTCATAATGGCATTAAACTATTACCGTGCTAATTCTATATTTGTACTTAAATTATAAAATCTCAGCCCAAATACAGAATTTATGAAAATACATGATGATGTATACAATATACATGTACCCCCTACCATTTTCTGTATTATATTTATTTGGACATGATCGAAACTTGCCTTTCTATAAAATATTGAAAACAAATTGTAAAGGGAACAAGCTTTTTTGGGATTGAAAAAATCTGAAATAAACAGTTACTGTTTAAAAAAAAGACATTAATCTTACCATTCAATGTCAGAAGTCTGTTCTTGGTATCTGTTCTTGGTATCAGAAGTCTGTTCTTGGTATCAGAAGTCTGTTCTTAGTATTTCAGAAGTCTGTTAGTGGTATCAGAAGTCTGTTCTTGGTATCAGAAGTCTGTTCTTAGTATTTCAGAAGTCTGTTAGTGGTATCAGAAGTCTGTTCTTGGTATCAGAAGTCTGTTCTTAGTATTTCAGAAGTCTGTTAGTGGTATCAGAAGTCTGTTCTTGGTATCAGAAGTCTGTTCTATGTATCCACAAAGTTTCTCAAACATATTCCACTTATTTGCCTTAGCTCCTGGCTATATTTTGTAACATCGTTTTATTCTTGCTATGATTTACTGGTGTAGTTGGTGCCATACCATCAATGAAGTCAATCCTTTTTATATAATTTCTCCATCTCTATACTTCATGTACTTTCTTGGAAGAAATTTTGCGCCACTGACAAATCTTGAAAACACTCTAGATATAAAACACATATTTAAAAATTAATTCTGTTTTTTTATTCCTAATTAACGAACAAAATGCATGCAAGCCGGAGCTATTAAAATCCATGTTTGCCAGACTTTGTGGTTGATATTTTCTCACTTAAGTACATTATCAAATACTCTCGATTTCCATCTGTCTCCATCAGTCAGTCAATTCTGATAAGTCCTCAGCTGACCATAATTATTCTGTAAAAAAAATAAAATCTTTTGAAATAGTACTAGAAATTAACATTTATATTAATATAAACCACAGTGGAATCTAAAGCAACATGCTTATACCATGTGGTGCTACTCTCTCCTTAGATTGTATGATACTACTGAGTGACATATTTGGCAAGGGATGATGGATTAATATTGCCAAAAGGAGATTTTATCATATTGGTTGGTTAAAATTTAACAAAAAAATCTTTTGGGATTTGGTAACTAACAGGACTTATGTAAACAATTTCATTTCTGTGACAACAAAAGTTAAAACATCTCTGATTGGTCTGTCATTTGAGAATGGAAAATGATGAAGAGGGTCATTGTTTAGGACACTAAGATATTGATTATATTTGATTTCTAAATAAAGGACAAGGAATTTTTTTGGGGAGACAAATTAAAAATATTCATTTAAATGAAACAATAATTTTAAAGATTCTGAAAGATGACATATTCTATGGATGATTTGTATACTGTTATATATTTAATCCTTGTCAGACCCCATGTAACAATAAAATTATGAGTTATCTCCCCTGCTAGACAAAGATATTTTCACAATTTAGAAATATTTAGTTTTTTGGATCATTATGATATTTAGAGAAGAATCTTATTGGAATTGGAAAGAAAGGTTTGTATTGTTATAATCATTGCGTTCGTTTTGTTTCATGCATATTATAAAAAAATTATGAAAATCATAGATAGAATGTATCCACATGCTTTCAGTGTTTGTTCCTTTATTTTTTTTTTCAGTTCAGAATTTGGATATATGAGTTGCTGTCTCATTCCATGATATATATTCCTAATCTCCTTTTATTCCTATGACAATTGTTTTTGTCTTTGTATGTGAAGATTTGGTGTATGGTACCATGGTGCTATATAATATTGTTTACCATACATTTTGTAGCTCTATATCTGAATAGATTTTATAATAGAATGTATAATTAATGTTGTGCTGTAATTTTAGGGGAAGCAGTGCTTTTGAAAATCCCATGGTGCTTTTTTGAAAATACTTGTCTCTGTCTTATTGATCATGTTGATTAAGTAATAAATAAGAATTCTGCAAGTTTAGTTTTCTAGACATTTTTTCTAGACATTTTGTCTGTTCTATGGTCGGGTTGTTGTCTCTTTGACACATTCCCCATTTCCATTCTCAATTCTATTTATATAATATAGACTTGATGGATTACATTCATACATTCAAATGCTTCAAACTTCATTATTACAGTTCATCAAATACTCTGTCATTTTCATACATTTATGTGTGTTTTATTTTTCAGTGTCAAAGTGGCCGTCAGGGTCCGTCCCTTTAATCAAAGGTAAGTTTACTAGCAAATGAATATTTTATTTAAAGAACTCTTGTCAGTTTTTTTTCAAATTGCTATATAAAGGAAACAGAAATAACCAATGTTCAAATATCATATATCATTAAATTAAGATAACACACAAGAACTCCAAAATGAGCCAGAGTAATGCATTGACAGGATAAGTATCTCCTACTATGTATGTATCACCCGCAATGTGAATCCACACACAGTCAAAACCTCAAGAAAGATGCCATATTTTGTTCAAAATCTCTAAACATAAATGGCTTAAAAACATTTTCTAGTAACAGCAATTGGATGATGCCAGATTTTATAGCATTTTACTTCTTCATGCAGAATATTACATTTTATATTTTATATTTTATCATGAATATATAAAAAGAAGAACCTAATCAAAGTTAGCAAGCAAGTTCCTACAGTGACACATTGTAAAATATTATCTGTATTAATGATAAATATAATTGATGACCCTGTTAATTTTCTTTAAGGGAGAAGGACCGGACGTCGAAGCTTATCATTAAGATGCAGGACCAGATGACAACAATAGCCAACCCTGAAACTCCAAGTAAGTTGTAATATTTACGTTAGATCTATTTATAGTTTCTCAGAAGGAGCAATTTGCAAAATAAATTTCTGAAGTTGATCAATTAAATTGCAGTTGTCCATGCTCCAACATGCCATACCACTTTTTGTCAATAAATTCTTAGTTTATTAATTTGTGTAAAAACTAAGGATACAGTTTCTTTTACTGTCTGGCAAAGTTTACTGATAAAGTTTAGGCTTTGTTCGTTATTTTATGGCTTTAGTATTACAAGTAGATTAAAGACATCTACATGCTAATTGTTTTTGTGTCATTTTGTTGCTGTTTCATTGAGATACAGAATCAATTTGTTGTTGTAGTACACTTACCCATATGTTACAGGTTCTACCCCTTACTAGGACAAACCAGAGACTTTAAAATGGCTATTTATTGCTTCTCTAGACCAGGCAAACAATATTTAGGAGTTAGTTAAAGCAAAGACTGGTTCACTAAGATTCAGAATAATGTATCTTAGTAGAGTGACATGTTATCATGTTAGTAGAGTGACATGTTATCATGTTAGTAGAGTGACATGTTATCATGTTAGTAGAGTGACATGTTATCATGTTGACTGTTTGTTTAGCAGGAAAAAAAGTCTAACTCAGTGTGTCTGTCTAGTGTATCAAGGTGTAGTCATATTATGAAACATGTTATTGTCCTGAATATCCATGTAATGTTTGCCACTTGACATTTATTAAGTAGCCATCATTCAGCTGACTTATGTACTGTACATTTCCTTTAAGTCTTCTTTGTAGATTATTTTTGCAAAAGATAACAAACCGGATTTTAATATTTTGAAATTTTTTTAAATGTACACTTCTCCAGAAATTTTATGGGTAACTATCAGATTTACTAAAGATTTTGAGGACACATTTTTGTAAATTACATTTTTCACTCAATATTGCATTTTTTATATAAATTAGTGAATTATTATTGTTGCCATTAGTCCAAGATTACTCAGACAGCTGATTTATTTTTGGGGGATTTGCTGGAGACCTGGCTCAAGCAACTTTGCCAAGCCCAAAAATTCTGTCAAATTCCTAAGATGTTTAATTATCAATCATTTGGGGGACAAATGTAGAATAAAGTTTAATGAAAGATTCATATTAGATTTACACTTCTAATAATTGTTTTATTTCTTTTTCAGATGAAGAACCAAAAAAGGTATGATCTCATATTAAATGATGACTGTTGCAGTGTTATTTTACTTAGAACAGGCTATTATTTGAACTTGGAATTATTTTTAATTATGGAATTTGCATTATTTCTTGTGCTTGAAATTTTTAATGAATTCCATGTTTATTCTGTATTATAATGTTCTGTGCTGAGCACAACACTTTCTATTACAAAGAAGATAGCACATTTTCAATAGAATGTACTGTGCCGCGCACAACACTATCTATACAAAATACATTGTGTGGAAAGTGTTATGCACCGCTCAAAACATAATAATACTTAATAAACATCGAATTTATCAAAAATTTCAAACACATGAAATTATGCAAATTCCATAATTAAAAATAATTCCAAGTTCAAATAATAGCCTGTTTTAGTAAATACTTATCATAAAAAGGGCTTCAGACACAACAAATTTATAAAGTTTTATTTGTATTTTTATCCTGGGTGTCAACTCATCAGATTTTGATTGGATCCTCCATTTTAGAAAGTATCAATTTTAAATTCTAGATTTTTTTAATTTCACCTTAGTATATCCTTAAGACATGTCAGCAACTTTCAAGATGAAGAACACATTAATATAACTTTTCTTTTAATGGCTATTTCTCAGTTTGTTATGAGAAAAATTAAGAAGGTTTTCCATGTACAATATTATGGGATAAAATGTAATTTTATTCAACAATGGGAAGTGTGTCATGTTTATTCTGAGGTTGTAATTTTTCATGACTTTTTTACTTTGTCCATTTCAGTTTTCCTTTGATTACTCATACTGGTAAGTACAGACATTTTCTTTTTTTGAAACCTGAGTGTAAAGTTAAACAAAACAATAAGATGACAAGGGCAAAAGTTATGTTTGAAATGTCCAAGCTTTCATTTGATGAAAATACACTGGGGCTTCCAAGACTATAAATAAACAGTTTCAGATTTTATCAGGGAGTTTTCTTTCTTGTGGTCTTTAGTTTTTGCCCAGTTATTCTCTTCTTTATTCTTTTGGTCTATTTTTCATTATTTTTTTTTTGGCCCATTAGTCTTTATTCTGTAAAACCCAGTCCAGATCATCTTTTATTGGTCTTTTTATGCCCCCGCCGTAGCGGAGGGGGCATTAAGTTTTACCCTTGTCGGTCTGTACATATGTACGTCCGTCCGTACATCCGTACGTCCTAAAGTTGGTTTCTGTTCTCTAACTTTAGTTTGCCTCAACCAAATGTTATGAAACTTATACACAATGCTTATTACCACATAATACAGATCAAGGTCGAAATTTGGTGGGGTCACTTTTACTGTTCTTTAGTTATGCCTCTTTGTAAACATAAAAATTGCTGAATATTTTGTTTCCGTTCTCTTACTTTAGTTTGCCTCAAACAAATGTTATGAAACTTATACACAATGCTTGTTACCACAAAACTCAGATCAAGTACAAATTTGGGTAGCGTCACTTTTACTGTTCTTCAGTTATGTCCCTTTATATCTTTATATGATATGCAAGCTGGGGCATCATCTGTGTCCCATGGACACATTCCACATTTATTCAGTAATATCTCCCCCTGATAAATCCATATACTGGCTGACATGTTATATTTCAGTACCCTAGCTTCTGTAAATTGAAATGATTCTCACCTGACTTCCATCTTAGGCTAAGGAAAAAACTCTTGGATATGAAATTTTTTATGCATGTAGAACCTGTTGAACTTCATCTGAAAATCAAAAAAATGATACGAGGAGCATTTATACTTCCAGAGATTATATAAAGTAAGTTAAGAATTTATGAAACAGATCTATGAATATATATAAAAAGAAAAGAAAAATGAGAATGTTTTGCTTTAAATTGACATTTCTCATTAATCCCTCCACAGAATGTAGTGTATAATTGATATGTTAATGTTATGATCAAGTTGACCAGCAACTCATGGTCTTAAATCATTTAAACTAAATGAACCTGCTCAGGCTACATCTGAAGAGTCAGTGTAAAACTGAACTTGGCCCTTTTGGCCACAATTAATATCTCAATACACATATGAAGGCTATTTTGAGTGTTTTGAAAGCTCAATTCCTGGCTTTACTCTTTCAAAAACTTCTTCTTTAACAATATAAGACATCATTTATATTATGTCGATATAAGACTTAGTGTCACGATCAGAGAATCAATTTCATGCTGACTGTTATGATTACAAAGAAATTGATATTCTTCAATTTCAAAAGAAATATATCTAATCCTACATTGTTATATTCATTAAGTTCATGGAGTTGTAGATTAGTTTGAATCCATTAACATCATTAAGAATTGTAACAATTTTTGAGCATTTGATGAGATATATACAGTATCTTATTTAATGCATTATATCATAATATTTTTCAAAGTCTGAAGCATGAACATGTATAAGCTCTTTGGGAAATTGTTGCAATAAGTGCAGTTACTCATTTTGAAACAAAAAAATTACAAAATAATTACAGAACACTTCCAATATTTAAGGGTTATAAAAATTATTTGGTTTCTATAAACATGCAAGGTGCTCAGTCCAGACTTTCTCTCTTCTTTTGAAGTTTTATTTTATTATAACACTGATCAATTACATAAAGTGTTTGTAGTTATAATTGACTCAGAGGCCTTTAATGTTTGATTAGATAATATCTCTATCAATAGTGTGTCAATATTTGTAGCCTACATACATGACATAGAGTCTGTGGAGATCATATTGATCTATCTGTTGACAATTTTTGATAGTAAATAATTGATGGCTGTTTAATGTCCAGTGACAAATATTACATACATATTATGGACACTCTGAGTCAGATTTGTAATATAGTACCTTGTAAGGTAATATGCCACAGGAAGACACATTACCTTTCTCAGACACATTCTTCTGACTCCTAGCCGATTAGGCTTTGGTTTTCCACCTATATTTCACCTACTCAGCAGAAAAGCATCAAATACCAATCTTAAACCCTTTGGTTTGACTCTGCCTGGATAAAAAGCACATCCTCTTTTACTCAAAACCATAAGACCGTCAAGGGTTTGAACAAGATAAGTTAGGATTAATGTGAAAATTGTTTTGTCATGAGATGTCCTCAAAACTATGATGATCTATGATACAGCAGCTTTGACAATCTTTTATTGTGGTCCAGAAACTTAAAAGTAATATATATATTTAACTTGAAACTTGTATATTTAAGTATGGCAGGAAATTTTGATGTGGATAGAAGTATTCAACTTGAATATAAAGAAATTTTGGGTATAAGTCAATTAATTATACTTCATGTCAAAATGCGTGATTCTGATTGGATAATACGAGGGAGACAATTTACTCTATCCCATGGCAAATACTCTATTACCCTTCACGGAGACGCTTGATCATTTGTGGCATACCAAATAGGTACAAGACGTCACAGTATTACTTTGAATTTGAAATTTAACAGACAGTAATAACAGAACATTCAGTATAATAAATTAAATAACACATAGCTTTGCCATGGTTAACAATGTTTTCTCAGGGTAACAATCTGCTCTATCACCCTCTCAGCTATGTGTTATTTATAAAGTGACAGTAAACCAGCAACACAAAAAATCCCAAGTATATTAAGCAGTTAACTGTAAAAAACAGATTTGATTCAATAAATATTTTGGGAGATACAGGAAAGAAAGTTCTTTTTTGGAAAAGTGTTCTGTTTATTTTTTGTATGTTACAGACAAAAAGGAGGTCAATTTTCAGGACCTCAGCCATTCCTACATTTGTGTTGAAATATTTTGTGATTCTTTTAATTGACACTTCCTAGACATCTCAGACTATCCCTATATTTCAACAGCTTCAGGCATCATACTGTTGATAATAACTAAATGAGTTAGAATTGTGAGATAACTTAAAGTTTTGTACATAAAAAAAAAATATTCAAATCCTTTTGATTATATTTACAGATAACAGGAATTTAAATTATAAAATGTTATACTTTTAAAAGGTTTATAAATGTGAATTAAGATTTAAATAAAAATCTGTTTCAGTTTTCCATAAGAAAACACTTGTAACTGTTTGCCTAAACATATTGACGTTAGGTCAGGACACGCTTACGTGACTATAATTCTCTGTAATCAAACAGTGGTTATGCAAATCTGTAATATTACGGAAGTTTACAGATATAATTAGAATTTTATGTAAACAATAAAGATTAAAATTAAGATATTGTCCACAGAGAAAATAGACTTTATTGTCCGCCTGAGATTATATTAGTTGCTTGTTTGTATATTGATAGCTATACTTCAATGTTGAATTTCATTGTAAAATACGATTGAATATTGTGATTAGGTTTTCACATTATGTGCTGTAGGATAATGTTACTGTTTATTGTAAGATTAATACAACTCATACTACTTTTTTTAGTTAAAATAACTGGAGTTATTGTTGTAGTATAACATTTAACAGCATTAGATTTAATTGTTCCTGTGTCCTAATATAGTTATTTACACCGGCTTCATTTGGATTCTGTTGGTAATCATACCACATCTCCTTTTTTATGCCTCCGGTGTAGAAGAGGGGGCTTTATCAGAAAAACAAAGGCTATGGGGTTCCCCATCCATGACACAAAATCAGTACATGCACAGTATCTGCTTGTCCCAAAATTAGTTTCCATTCTCTAACTTTAGTTTCCCAAAACCAAAATGTTATGAAACTTATACACAATGCTTATTACCACAAAACACAGATCAAGTTTGAATACAGGTGGCATCACTGTTGCTGTTCTCCAGTTATGTCCCTTTATAAATGGAAAAATTGCTAAATTTGCTGTTTCTGCACTATTTTGCCTAAACCAAATGATATGAAACTTATACACAATGTTTGATATTCAGTATTTGTACAAAAGGCTGGAAAGTATTTGGTAATTTATGGAAGCAGATATACATTTTAATGTTTGGTATATTAACTACAGTTAAAGTTTTCATACAACTTTTCTTGATTACAGGTAGAAAAAAATTTTCATACTGTAAAGTGTTTAATTTTTTGCAGAGTAAACTGATTTTTAAATTTCTAGGTTCAAACCTGTTTGGAGGTATAATTTTCACATTTCTCTTCCCCACGATTCTGGTCTCCCTCAACGAGCCAGGCTGATTCTGTTCTCCCTAGAAGAGCCTCTGACTAATCTCCCTTAAAGAGACCCTGACTGAGACGGATCTCCCTGAAAGAGCACCTGATTCTGGTCTCCCTTAACAAGACCCTAACAAGATCATATTGACAAAAGGGGATATTTTCACAATTTCATCTTAATAAGTGGAAATAAACCCCTCATGAAAATTTATCATTTTGCAGTAAACAGGCTATTATTTGAACTTGGAATTATTTTTAATTATGGAATTTGCATTATTTCTTGTGCTTGAAATTTTTAATGAATTCCATGTTTATTCTGTATTATAATGTTCTGTGTGGTGCACAACACTTTCTATTACAAAGAAGATAGCACATTTTCAATAGAATGTACTGTGCCGCGCACAACACTATCTATACAAAATACATTGTGTGGAAAGTGTTATGCACCGCTCAAAACATAATAATACTTAATAAACATCGAATTTATCAAAAATTTCAAACACATGAAATTATGCAAATTCCATAATTAAAAATAATTCCAAGTTCAAATAATAGCCTGTTAGTAGTGATTTCCCTTGTGATAGTAAAATCTGATTGTAGAATATAATATAAGGGGTAGTGGAAGATAATATTTTCCCCAGGTGTGTCAATTCCTAACCTGCAAATGGTGTTAATTCCTCCTTTCTTTGCTACTTTTTTT